CCGGGCACCAGCTGCTGCAGGCCTGCGTGGGAGAGGGGTACAAGGCACGTTCTTGTGCTGGGCTAAGCTGCTGCTGGCAGGAGCTGGCTGTTAACGGGGCGTGGGGCTGGTGCAAGGGGGCCTGGCCTAGAGATCAGGGTTCTTGGCGCCCAGGAACCGGGGCAGGTCAGTGCACGAGGAGTCTGACCCTTGTGGACTTCCCAGGCACGTGGCCCACCCAGCTGGCTTCTGTGATTGGCTGGAGCTGGCAGGGGCGTGGCCTCTGGGGGCGTGGCACTGTTCAGGCTGGGTTCGGCCACAGGTGACCTATCCAAGTGCCGGCTCTGGCCCTTCCTGGGGCTGTCAAGGGGGGGGCCCCAGGGGACCCCCCAGCGCCCCTGCCTCTCCAGCCTGGAGCCCGGGCTGGATCCAATCTGCAACCACCCCCAAAGGGCCATCGCTCCACACCCCTCCCCCCGGTGCTGCCGCCTCTTGCTGGGCCTTGGCGCCGCAGCTCTGGGGCACTTCCCCACGGAGGGGTCTCACTGCTCCTGAGCAGAACGCGGCCGCCGGTTCCAATCCCCGGTAGAGGGGTGGACGCTGAGCTGGGCCCATCGTGGTTCTTGCTCCTGGGGAACACTGACTCCCCCTTGCCAACGCCGCATGCCCTGCCCTCTTCCCAAACAGGCCACACTGGAGAGGCGCCGCCTGGGACCCACCTGCGAGCCCTTGGCCAGCTTGCGGTACAGTAGCCCGGACCGGTCCCTGGCTAGTGACATGTGAGTATGGGGACCCGCTCCCCTGGGCAGGGGCCTTCTGTGCCAGACGTCCGATTCCCGCTGGCCGGGCTCCCCCCTGGCATCCCAAGGGCACTCGGGCTGGGTTACCCCTGCGAGTCCCCAGCCTGCCTGTAAGGCAAGGGGAACTGATGGGCAACGAGTTGGCTTGCTTGCCACGGGGCCCAAGCTGGATCGAAATGCTCCGTGGTCTCTGCTAGTTGCCAGGCCGTTGGCGCCGGACTTTGCTCTGTGGTCCCTGGCTCCAGTAACTAGACAGACCAAGGAGGAGCACAAAGGCACGATGAGCCCCCGGGGGACGGCACGGTAGGCTCTGGGCTCGGCGTGCCAGCTGCCTCCTCAGGGCTCCTGCTTGCCACGGGGCCCAAGCTGGATCGAAATGCTCCGTGGTCTCTGCTAGTTGCCAGGCCGTTGGCGCCGGACTTTGCTCTGTGGTCCCTGGCTCCAGTAACTAGACAGACCAAGGAGGAGCACAAAGGCACGATGAGCCCCCGGGGGACGGCACGGTAGGCTCTGGGCTCGGCGTGCCAGCTGCCTCCTCAGGGCTCCGCAGACGCCGCGAAGGAGAGTTTGGGTGGCAGATAGCGAGGTGGCTTTGCAGCTCTTGGCCCCGCGCGCAAGGGGCTGCCTGGGGGGAGAGCACAATTGATCTAGTGAGAATGTGTGTAACCCGCTCACCTGCTGGGCGTGGGTCCCTGTCCCGGCGAGTGGCTCTTACACCACTCGAGAATGAGTCTGCTCTGCAGCCCTAGTCGGGAGCCAGCTGGCTTGTAGCTCCTGCCGTAGAGGCTCCTGTTCTAAGAGCCAGAGGGCCCCGGTTTGATTCTACCTGTTGGCGTGACACACAAGCTGCTGGTGTTGTGATGCTGAGGGAGAGGCTGGGGCATGGTTCCATGCCATGGGGAAGAGTTAAGTGCAGGGCTCCATAGCCGGGTGTCACGGCCCAAGGGCTAGGTTAGAACATCAGAATGGCCAGACTGGGTCCAGCCCAGTGTCCTGTCTGCCCACCGTGGCCAATGCCAGGTGCCCCAGAGGGAGAACAGAGCAGGGAATCCTCCCATGATCAAGCCTCTGACAAAGGCCAGGGACCCCATTCCAACCCATCCTGGCTAACAGCCATCGAGGGTACGTCTACAGTGCACCCGTAGCTTGAAATAAGCTATGCAGGTTGAGCTAGGCACATTGTGTTGCTTATTTCGAGTTAATTTAGAAATAGCTTCTTTTGAAATTTGGCACTGTCCACACAGCACTTATTTTTAAATAAACTGCTATTCCGAAATGCCACTTACTCCTTGTGGAATGAGGTTTACAGGGACATCCGAATAGCGAGCTTGTATTTCAGAATAACTGGCATGTTCAAAAATGCAGAATAGCTATTTCAGGTTACCTCTGGTATCCGGAAATAGCGTTGCAGTGTAGACATAGCCTGATGGACCTCACCTCCATGAATTTATCTAGCTCTTTCTTGATCCCTGTTAAAAGTCCTTGTCTTCAACATCCTCAGGGAGGAGTTCCACAGGTGACAGTGTGTTGCGGGAAGAAACACTTCCTTTTGTTTGTTTTAAACCTGCGGCCTATTGATTTCATTTGGTGACCCTTAGTTCTTACCTTATTTGGACAAGTAAATATCTTTACTTTCTTCACTTTCTCCACACTGGTCATGATTTTATAGACCTCTATCATATCCCCCTTATTGCGCCAGAGGGCTTATTCCTGAGCGGGAGCGTCAATTCTGGCGCAAGAAGCCCTGATTTCATACGTTAGAATGTCAGTTTACTTGCGCAAGAACACGCCGCTAGTGTAGACAGGCACAAGTTTTTGCGCAAGAGCAGCAGCTTTTGCCCAAGATTGGGCCAGTGTTGACAGTCCCAGTGTTTTTAATCTCTTCATATGGCAGCCATTCCAAACCCCTCCTCATTTTTATTGCCCCTTTTCTGAACCTCTTACAATATCTCTTTTGAGGGGAGGTGGCCACATCTGTACGCAGTGTTCAAGCTGTGGGCATTCCATGGGTGTATACAGAGACAGTAAGAAGTTCTATCTTATTCTCTATCCCTTGTTTAATGATTCCCAAGGTGGTTTGGTTTTTTGACTACTGCTGCACACGGAGTGGATGTCTTCAGAGAACTATCCACAATGACTCCAAGATCTTGAGTAGTTCTAGCTAAATTAGACCCCATCATATTGTATGTGTAGTTGGGATTATTTTTTCCAACGTGCATTACGTTACATTTACCAGCATTAAATTTCATTTGCCATTTGGTTGCCCAGTCACCTAGTTTGGTGAGATCCTTTTGAGTTCTTCATAGTCTGCTTTGGTCTTCACTATCTTGAGCCATTAGGTGGCAAAATCTGCAGATGATACCACACTGGCTACGTCTAGACTGGCAGGATTTACCGCAAATGCTTTTAACGGAAAAGTTTTCCATTAAAAGCATTTTCGGAAAAGAGCGTCTAGATTGGCACGGACGCTTTTCCGCAAAAGCACTTCTTGCGGAAAACCGTCCATGCCAATCTAGATGCGCTTTTGTGCAAAAAAGCCCCGATCGCCATTTTTGCCATTGGGGCTCTTTTGCGCAAAACAAATCTGAGCTGTCTACACTGGCCCTTTTGTGCAACAGCTTTGCACAAAAGTCCTCTTGCCCGAACGGGAGCAGCATAGTATTTCCGCAAGAAGCACTGATTTCAGACAGTAGGAAGTCAGTGCTCTTGTGGAAATTCAAGCGGCCAGTGGAGACAGCTGCTTTTGCGGAAAAACTTGCCAGTCTAGAGACAGCCCTCGTGTACCTCTTTTTCCAGATCACTTATCAGTAGGTTAAATAGGATTGGTCCAAGAATGGACCCTTGGGGAACCGCACTAGGAGACTGCTCTTTGCAGCCCCATTCTGCAGGGCTCTGCGGGGCCAGATGTCTCAGCGGGGCTGGAGAGGAGCTGCCAACCTGGACGGCTGTTGTAGCTGTCGGTGGTGGGGAAGAGCCAGGTCTCTGGTGGTGCAGAAAGAACTGGCCGGATTTAGCCAGGCGGAGTGTGAGGACCTAGAGAGCGCAGAGTGGAAGATGCTTCTCAGGTTACAGGCTTGAGTGATGGGCAGGGCAGTAGAGCTGCTCTCAGGGATGGACCAAGGCTTGAGGGGGGAGGGGGAAGAGCCTGAGTCAGTGGCTGGCCACTCCGTGTTCTCCATTGGCAAACCAACAAACCTGGCCTGCTGCCCGAGACCCCCTTAGCCCTGGATGACGCCTGCTGCCTGACCCCATGCTTGAGCCACTGCTGGTGTAATCCGCCTGTCCCGCTGTCCTTCCAGGTCCACCTCGTCAATGTCTCCACGCCTGCGGTGCCAGGGCACCACCAGGGCTGGGCAGCTGTGCAGGAAGAAGGCCGTTCCCGGGCAGGAGTTCTGCCATGTCCACGCAGCTGGACAAGTCTCCTACGCCAGCTGAGCTCTGTGCAGCCGCTGGGTTGGTTTGGACCGTGGGTGGCTGGCCAGGGAGCTGTGGATCCCAGGAGCAGCAGCCCCCAGGTCTCGGCCACAGCCACCCTGCGGGTTATTTTAAACACTGCCTTTGGTTTTTAACGTGTACGTGTGTTTGCCTGGAGGGACTACGGCTGCGGAGGGCCGACAGCCCCTTCCTGGCAGCCTTTTAGGGACCCACTGGGCTTTGAGGAAAGCCCCATTTGAAATCCCCACCCTGCTCTGCCAATGTTCCAGCTTTCAGCCCTGCCTGGAGTTGGGGCTCTCCTGAAACCTGCAGGGGACGAGGAGCCTCCCCATTGGCACCGACTCAGGAGCTGTCCACTCTGACAAGTCGCGGGGGCGTTTTCAGTGGCTGCAGCTGCCCAGCTCCTGCTGGCTCTTCTGGCCTGCTTCTCCCCCCCCCCCCCCCCCCCCCCCCGCCGCTCTGTTGAGTC